TTGGGTCTCCGTTGCTGCGCGCAGGCTTTCTCTAGTTGTGGCGAGCGGGGGCTACTCTTTGTTGCAGTGCGCAGGCTTCTCATTGCGGCCGCTTCTCTTGTTGCAGAGCACGGGCTCTAGGTGCGTGGGCTTCAGGAGTTGTGGCACGTGGGTTCACTAGCTGTGGTGCACGGGCTTAGCTGCTCTGCGGCATGTGTGATCTTCCCGGACCAGGGCTGGAACCCGTGACCCCTGCATTGGCAGGTGGATTCTTAACCACTGCGCCACCAGGGAAGTCCCTGTCTTCATATTCTGATACCACTTATTCACTCCACATTTATTCTTCAAACAACTCCCTTTAGCTTCGGACCTGATACCTCCATAGAAACCATGATGAGGATCACAAATGACCCTCCAATGGATGGCTCCGCAGCAGACTGTTCACTACTTTGTCCTTCTGTTCTGGCTTCCACGACACCCCTCTCCTGGCATCCTACTTCCCCACTGGCTGCTGCTGCTTTTTAAAGTTCCTATTCTTCCCTGTGACCTATAGATGTTGGTGCCAAATCCTCTGCTTTTTCTTCTTCTTCTTCCCCTTTATAATCTCATCCATTTTTATGGCTTTCAAAACCATCTCTGTTCTGACAACTCATATTTATATCTGCAGCTCAAACATTTCTGAGCTCTAGACTTGCATTTCCAACAGCATATTTGACGTGCCCATGTGAATGGAATGTCTCTCATATACCCTGAACTAAGTGTCCCAAACAGAACTCAAATGCTTTCAAACCTGTCCTTATCTATCAAGTTTCCATCTTGGTAATTGGCATCACCATTTACCTTGTTGTTCAAGACATAAAACTCAGAGTGGTTCTTGATTTCCCCCTTTCTCCCACTGCCTCTCTTCCCCAATCCAATCCAGTGTCAAGCCCTGTTTCTTCAATTCCAATGATACTTAAAATTCACTTTTCCATCTCTGTTTCTGCTATCCTGACTTGGGCCATAAGTCATCGTAGCCCAGGCACCCATTACCTCTGAACTACCTTAAAGAACTTTCTAACTTCTTCCACTTCCACTTAATTTTCCATAGGCTGGTAGAGTTGTCTTTTGAAGATGTGTAATAATGTTGCCCTGCTTGTTCGCTTTTTAGATCTTTTTTAGTTTCCTCAAAGCATTTTACATAATTTTATTTTATTGATTTGTTTTTGCTGGTTGTGTTTGTCTCCACCACCAAGTTCCATGAAAGTAGGTGCCATGCTTCTCTCTCTAACCATACAGAATACCAGCCTGATTTATCACTGGGACTCAAATAATCATTTATTAAGTATCCGATATTTGAGAAGAAGGAGAAAACAAGATAAAAAATGTATCCTGTTAGATGGTGGTGAGTCCTAAAAAATATAAAGAAGGGAAGAGGATATGAAGAGTTGAGGAAGTGAAGCTTGCGATTTTTAAACCGGGTAGCTGGGTGACATTGAAGTAAAAACCTGAAGGACACAAAGGAATGAGAATACCGTCTGCAGAAAGGCATATTATGACATGCAAAGGCCCTAAGGAGGGAGCCCGCCCTGCATTTGAGCAAAGCAAGTGTCGAGGAGACCCAGGAACTGAGGAGAGAGAGTCACAGGGCGGTGAGGTGGGGGTGGTCTCAGATCATGTTGGGCTCCAATGCCATAGTCAGGAATACTGGCTTTTAATCCAGGACTAGGAGTGACTGGAAAACTTTCAGAGGACACACATAACGTGACTTCTGTTTTAACTGGACACTCTGGCTGGTATGTTCAGAACAGTCCAGGGAATACACGATGAGAATCTGGCTCAGGATGTTAGCAGTCGAGATTGCAGATTAAAATTGTCCTTAAAAGCCCGTACTGAAAAAGTACAGTTGACATCAGTGATGAAATAAAAATTTACATTTTAAGGCAAGACAAGAAATATTTACACATAGAACTTTTTCTCTACCCTTTGGCCTCCTCCCTCCCCTCTAGATGCATCACGCATCTATATTATGCATTAACCAGACCTCCTCAATGGCAGAAATACCTGCTCAACCATAGTGATCACTTTTTCTCCTTCTGGTACCAGCCACATAATTCCCTAGAAGATAACATTCCTTTTTCAATTCTGAAAGGTGTTACGGTGACCCACCACTAGCCTTGTCAGTGCAGACATCTCTGGTGAGCTTTATGTGCAATGCCAATATACCATTCCCCTTAAAGACAGCGATTGGTGCAGAACAGACTGGTCAGACGACCTGGGGAGATACCGGGCCATACCTAACGAAGTTCGTAGCTTAATACTTACTTATGACGTTATTAATGTTACTAGCTAAATTACTTGTATTCTGCCTGTTTTACAAGATTATTGTTTCTTGCATTACCAAATGTGTGACTGAGACTCAGATAAAATTAATGATGATTAGGCCACTTGAAACAACTGACCAAATATATAGTTCTATAAGATCCATAACCGTAATCGTGTAACTTCTTCTATATGGGAAGAGAGAACAACAAGAAGAGGGAACCGTTTCCTGGACAGTAACAGTAAGATAGGTGGCCCAGAGGCTTTTGGTTATTGTTAACAGAGCCTCGTCCAGTAATAGCACATTGAGTGGCCTATCAACAAAATCCTCACCTGACCTGGGAATTAGCATTCCTAGCCACATGGGACAAACTGGTCGAAATGCCTCCCAAACTTTGGCTGAAATTGAGACCGAAAAGGAAGGGATTGTAAAATAAAGACTGCTGCCCACCATCCAGTTCTACAAGAATCAAATCACTAGCCACTGAGGCTATACACCCTGAAAGGAATAATACACCCTGAAAGGAATTTGGGGTGTGTGTTGGGTCAAGATCAGGATGAGGCACTCTGTGCTCTGGGAAAACTTGTCTTCAGGTAGATATTTTCAGGAGAAAATTTTTATGAACCTGGATTCTTGCATCTTCCCATACTTAGAAAAGCACTAAAACCATTAACTTAGATGTCTGTTCCTCATGACCTGTGACCTTCTACCGAGATGTGCGCTTGACTGCACATACCCCCTTTGCCAAAATCACGTATATACTGGCTTCCCCCTTTATCTCTTCAGAACAGTCCTCAGAGCTCTCTGAGAGACTGTCACCTGGGCTATAATCCTCAGTTTGGCTTGAATAAAATTTTCCATCTCTTTCTTAATTTTTTGTCATTGACACCAACAACTAAGAGAAGTCTTAAATCAGGTTATTATACATAGTATTAATCTTTAAAATAGTTCCTATATTTCAAAGTAAGAAATACTCCAAAGTAAGGAAACCCTATTTGTATTAAGATGTCTATATATGAATTCTGGTAGACAAATTATGGAAGTAACCTAAATATCTAACAAACTAGAAATACTTAATGTAGTGTAATATTATAGTAATATTAAGAATAACTATATGGACTATGCTAGTTTAGAAAAGTCAACCAAAAAAATTGAGTGAACATACAGAAAACAAACATATATTAAATGCATTTCATTTAATTACATAAAGGTTGTTCCCACACAAAAGGCCTAAAATAGCCATGGTCTTGTCATAACTCTTGTGAAATAGTTGTTTCTAAGTAAAAATACTTCCCTGGATTTTATGAACTTCAAACTTAAAAGTTCATTACAAGTTTTATAAAGTACTTAGTTAAATATTTACCTTGGGGTCTTTCAGCTTATAGTACTTTACTGATGTCATAATAAGAATATGACATCAAAAAATATACAAGGAACTTTTTTCAAAACCTTTGTTAAGAGTTAATTTCTAAAGTAAAAACGAAGTTAAACCAACTCGAACCCTTTAATTCAGGAAGCTAGTTAAATGCTAATAAAATTCAACACCTGGTCTTTAGATCTAGTTAAGTCTTAATATTTAAACAGATCAGATTTCAGAAGTAAAGTTACCTTACTTTCAGGATATTGATGAATGTTTGCAAAACAGTGCTCTCCGAAGCAGCTATCTTAATATATTTTATTTTCTCGGTCCTACCTTCACGAGTAGCATGGTTTGAAAAACCGTTAACAACCAGAAACCAGACAGGTTATGTCACGGGTTCATTACAGGACATGGTTTTCAGGATATCAGGTCTGGAGCATCCGGGATAAAAATAGGCTACCTTAGCTGGGCAGGACGGTAGAAGAAAGGGTAGAGGCGGATGGTGCGGGACCCTCTTACCTCCAGTTTCTGTAATTCCCACACGCATAGGGGAACCGCAACCACTATGGACACCAGATAAATGACCACCGCTAAAGGTCGAATCCACTGTCTCCAGTTCCTCCAGGTACAAGTGCAAGGCATGTTTCCGCATAAATCAGCTCCGAGTAGCAAGGGAAAATAGCTCGAAGGAGATGGTAATGGGGTCTCTGTTCTTTGGCTGTTCTGTCGACTCGCATACTACGGAAAAACAGCCGTGGAGCGACTTCACCAGCTGGAACCGCCTCCTCGGCCCACGCTGTGCTTTCTGTTGCTGCTACTGCTGCTGCTGCCACAAACGCGGCGGCTCAGGGTACTACTGGGGAGCAGTGCGGTCAGCATTCTTTCTTCCCCACCTTGCATCTACCCAGTTCTTCCGCGGTGGAATCCCCGGCAGAGCCGCTGCTCTCACCTAGGAATCGCCCGGAGCTCCGCCTGCAGCATGGCCTCGAGGGGAGCGGCGCCAAGCCGGACCGGCCTGTAGAGACCCTGCAATCAGTTCGGTTCTGCCCCGCGGCTGCCTGCCCGCTCACTTTTCTTGGGCGGTGAAGTTCCCTCCCTCCCGCGCTCGCAGCCGTCTACTCGGCCGATTCCGCTGATAGATAAGAGATGAAAACTTAACCCACCAGCCCCAGGATTTCTTCACTGGTTCCCACGGGCCAGTCCCACAAGGCGGAACCAAGGCCAAACCAGGGCTTCCGCTTCCGCCCCCGCTGTCTGAGGTTGGTGATTCGTGGACAGCGCCAAGATAGGCCCTCCCCATCCGGCTCACTTCCCACTCTCTGATTGGTCACTTTCCGGGGCGGGGCTGTTGGGATGGATACCAAGGGTACAAGGTTGGATGAAGCCGAGGTGTGTGGAAGTTGTGCCGTCGCTGCCGGGTGGCCCAGTGGCCAAGGAGGATTCTGCAAGCTGTATAGGTCGTTTGAGAACACATGAGGAACTCCTACTACATTGTTCTGCTGACTATATTCCAGCTTTAAGAAAGCCTGGGTAAGAGGCCATTACCTTAGAGCTGAACCTTTATCTGCACGAACATCTCCGATTCTCCCTGGGAGTGGATAGAGGAGTCAGCTGGACTAAGACGACAGAAAAAAAAAAAAAAGAAAGGGAAACGTCCACCTAGTTTTGTGTCAGTTGCCAGAATCTAGGGGTAGAGCCACTTAGTTATTTCGGGATTGTGCGGAAGGATCATTCTAGGGATAGCTTAATTTTAGAAGCAGTACTGCATTTGGAACTTGTTAAAAACTCGCATACATTTAAGTTTCAGAGAGTTGACATTACAACTGACAAAGAAATTTTATGTGCTTAAAGCTTTGAGCTGAACCAGAGCAAACAAATGGCAAATGGGATTTAAAGCCTTCCTAAACCAATAGAGCAAACAAATATGTACCTCTCAATTAGATACACAAATATGTCCTATATCTGTCCTTTTCTACGCGCTTTTCTTACATTATATTAGTTGATGTACACAAAAATCCCCAAAGGTAGGCAGTTTTCCATGTTACAGGTGAGAAAACGGATTCAAGTGGTTAAGTAGTTTGCAAAGCTCATTGAGCTAGTTAGTGGTAGAGCTGGGATTCTAACCTTGATGTCTGACTCCAGCATTGGACCTGTCAGTACCTGCCACCTGAGAATTTCTGACTAATGACCATATATGGACAAGAAGGCTTGCAGTATTGAATACACCCAGACTAAGATTCTCACAGAAGCACTGAGGGAATGTTGTCTTCCCCAGGGTCCTAGCCAAAGTTTGGAGCTTGATAACATCTCCTTTTTAAAATTTGGCCTCTTGTAATACAAACTGATTTCTTAAAGGGAAATAGGCCTTTTGTTTGTTCTTTGTAAACTAACCTACAAAATTGAAGTCATTATTTTAAAAAATTTCCTGATCATTAAATTAACACATACTCCATTGGTGAATTTCAAAAAATAGAAGAATAAAGAAGAGAAAAGTAACCCTTACTCTACAACTAAGTATATCCACTACTTACTTTTTTGGTACACAATATAGTCTTCCTTGGATATACTGCATACATAGATTGTCTCTGTGCTTTCAGCCACAGTCACTGCCATCTATAATAATCTTTCCCATTCTTCCTCATGGGCAAATCTTTTTCACGTAATTTGTGAAAACTTCCTTGATCCCCTGTCCCCCTCCCCCCGACCCGTAACCTTATGGCACTCACATGTTATAATAATTTACTTATTTGTCTGTCTTTATTTATTTTTAAAATTATTTATTTATTTATTTTTGGCTGCGTTGGGTCTTCGTTGCTGCACGTGAGCTTTCTCTAGTTGCGGTGAGCGGGGGCTTCTCTTCATTGTGGTGCTCGGGCTTCTCACGGGTGGCTTCTCTTGTTGAGGAGCGCCGGCTCTAGGCGCGCGGGCTTCAGTAGTTGTGGTGCGTGGGCTCGGTAGTTGTGGCACACTGGCTTAGTTGCTCCGCGGCACGTGGGTTCTTCTGGACCAGGGCTCGAACCCATGTCCCCTGCATTGGCAGGCCGATTCTTAACCACTGGGCTGCCAGGGAAGTCCCTGTCTGTTTTTAGTTTGAGTTTCTAGGAGCAAGCTAAAGTTCTAGAACTATTAGAATAAAGCAAGGGAGGGAAGGGACCAGAATGTCAGATGCACAGGTGGTTTCCCACACCAGTGTGTGAACTGGGGTTCATTCATGATGAAGGTTCTACAGGTGAGCAGAGAAATAAGAAAAAAAAATACATAGTGAGTTTTTATATGGTCAAACTTATTCATTCTAAAGGATTATGCTTTATTTTGAAATTGTCCATTCTATTTTTTTTTTTAATGTGATGATAGTTACAGAGTAGTTGTTTTCTAGATGTTCTTATTTTGGAAAATAAAAAGTTGGTAACTTTATTTGCTCCCATTTGTTTTATTCCTGAAATTGTTCTTGGTCCGTGAAATCCTAAAGTCTAGTAATCACTGAGACAAGGATTGGCCGCTGATTTCAGGAGCCATAATGTTGGCATGATCCTGATCTACTTGCTTTACTTGCTCTAGGTGTTCTCTGTATTCTTTCTTAGGATATGACTTAGCCTAAGTCTGAGGGTGGATCTGAGCTTGATTGTGTTTGAAAAATAAGAAATGGTTATAACTAGCAGATGGTACTGGGATCAAAAGCAAGCTGTTAGTCATTCTTGATGCAATTTACATAGATAAAATGAAGTTTCTGTTTATTACTGTATCACATGAAAATAGGTAGGTGAAATTTTGCCATCCATGGAGGATATGTTTGGATTAGTCTGACTTAAAATAATAGGTTAACAAAATTCGCTTTGAGGGATTCTGGGAGGTGGGCACTGTTAACCCCTTGGCATTTATTACCGTATCTCTCTATGGAAATATGTCTGTGATGGTTTTAAAATGTGGCTGCAACTTCTTTACTCTTCCCATAAAAATATATACTCTGTACCCCTTCCCCTTAAATCTGGGAAGGGTGTGACTGATTTGACCAATAGAGTACAGTGAAAGTGATCATCCTCACCATATGACCTTAGCGGCTAGGTCATAAAAGGCCATGCAACTCCACCTTATCTGTTGGAACAATTGCTTTTGGAACTCTCAGCCATTGTGTAAGAAGTCTAACTGTCTGAGGCTGGTGTGCTGTGAAAAGCCCAAGACACATCAGGAGGGCCCTTGAAGGTATGCTGAGTGACAGTCACAGCTGAGCCCAGCCCTCCAGTTAGCCCAGCCCAGGTGCCTGTCATGTGAGTGAAGAAGCGGATTCTAGCTTCCAGCCGTTTGAGTCACCCATCAGCATTTTGAGTCTTCCAAGATGAGGTGCTAGACTTATGGACCAGAGGAAGCCATTCTAGCTCTGCCTTCTCCTAATTCCTGACCTGATGAATCAATGAGCTCAAGAGAACTAGAAGAAAGACACAAGCTGAGAAAAAAAATTGGAAAAGACACATCTGTTAAAGGACTGGTATCCAAAATATACAAAGAACTCAACAACAAGGCAGCAAAACATGATTAAAAAAGGGGCCAAAGACCTTAACAGAACTCATCTAAGAAGATATCCAGATGTCAAATAAGCATATGAAAAGATCCTCCACATCATATGTCATCAGGGAAATGCAAATTAAAATAACCATGACATACTGCTACATACCTGTTAGAATGGCCACAATTGAAAACTGACAACACCAAATGCTGCTGAGGATTTCACCAGTGATTGAACTCTCATACACTGCTGGTGGGAATGTGAAATGGTATAGCTACTTTGGAAGACAGTTTGATGGTTTCTTACAAAATGAAACACACTCTTACCATAGGATCCAACAATCGCACTTATTGTTTACCCAAAGATAGTTTAAACCTTATGTCCACAAAAAAAATCTTCTGCACATGGATGTTTATAGCACCTTTGTTCATAATTTCCCAAACTTGGAAGCAACCAAGATTAGATAATAAAGAGTTTAATAAACAGTGGTACATTCAAACAATGGAGTATTATTCAGCGCTAGAAAAAATTGAGCTATCAAGCAATGAAAGGACATGGAGGAATCTTAAATTCATATTACTAAGTGAAAGAAGCCAATCTGGAGAGACTACATACTGTATGATTCCAACTATATGACGTTCTGGAAAAGGCAAAACTATGGAGACAATAAAAAGATCAGTGGTTGCCAGATGGGGGGAGGGGTAAGGTGAATACGCAGAGCACAGAGGATTTTTAGGGCAGTGAAAATATTCTATATGATATTATAATGATGAATGTATGTCATTATAATTTTGTCCAAACCCAAGAATGTACAACAACCAAGAGTGAACCCTAAGGTAAACTGTGGACTTTGGGTGATTAGCTATGATCTTTGGGTGATTATGCTGTGTCAGTGTAGATTCATCCTTGATGAAAAATGTACCATTAAGGTGAATAATGCTGATAATGGGGGAGGCTGTGTGTGTGTGGCTCTCGGGGGTGGGGGGGATATGGGAATTCTTTGTACATTTCTGTCGATTTTGTTGTGAGCGTAAAACTGCTCTAAAAAAATAAAGTTTAAAATATCCATGAGCATAATGAAAATGGTTTTTTTTTTTCTTTACTGGATCCTTCCTTTCCATGGTACCAGCCTGTTGAGCTTTATTTAGTATCTTCATTTTTTAAATGGGGACAAACATACCTGTCTTAGCATTCATAGGACTGATTTGTGGGTTTAATGAGATATCACCATACTTTATAATCTACAAAGCATACATGTATATAATGATAGCTACTTTGTATTGAGCATCCTCAAATTCTACTACCCTACAATTCTAGGAATAGTAGTGGAAGCTTTACGTATATAATTAATAGTATCTCTTAATCCTCAACACAACCCCCCACTGTTGTTATGATTACATTCAGTATATAAATGAGTTAATAATCAGCTTAAAGAGGTTGGTTGGATTGGTTTGCTAAGGTCAAACAAATAGAAAGGGGAAGAGAGGATTCAACTTAATATTACTTCCGAATAGAGGCCTTCCTTTCCTTTTAGCATACAGCTAGGAAAACATTTTATGTCGTTCAGAACAGTGGGCGTGATTAAGAAAAAGGGGAAATGGGGTTGGTGGAGGGTGGGTAGGGGGTGGGGGAAGAACCACTGAATAACCTGCCGCTATAGCAAAGTTAACAAAGAAAACACCCTGATAAAACTTGTGCTTGCGTTTTACAACAGACCACCTGAAAATCCCTGGACTTCATAATACACTGGTTTTTTTTATGTATCAAATATAAGGTGCAAAGTAAAAAATAGATGTTTTCGAAGCTAGAAAAGCCATCCATCCCTGCCAGATCCAAACTTAGTTACCACGCAAATACACAAGTCAAAAATGACACGAAACCAGAAAAACAGGACTTCCTCTGCTTTCAGAAAAGCCAAGAAGCAAAGAAAACTCTTTTTAGAAATACAGAAAAAAAAATTTTTCATAGTTGCTAATATGCCTTCCTTAGGCATTAAGACACATTTCTGTTCATAACCTTGATACAGCCATATTTTTACTCTTTATAAAAATCAAGTCTCCCAGTAAAAATGGTATTTTACCACACTAATCTTTAAATTCCATCACTGAAAACATAATACATACCAATTTCTAACCTCTTGGAACATTCTGCAAAATGGATTTTAGTCACTGGAATGAATAATTGCTAGGAAAAGCAGCACTGCCTCAACTGTGGTACAATTTGGTAGTCAATATTCTTGTTTTCCAATAAAAAGGAGATCTCATAAGCAGAAACACTGGACTCCTTGTGGTTTCATCGATCGAGAGAACGTTTCTGAGCAGCTTCTGAGCAAACATTTCTTAACAGGTTGATCACAGATCTGGGGTCTTCACTCCTCATAATGGCACTGCCAGATACAATCATGTTAGCTCCTGCCTCTGCGCATTTATGGATGGTGTCAGGACCTACTCCACCATCAACCTCAATGTCCAAAGACGGGAACTGGGTCCTCAACCAGTGAACCTTTGGCATCATACCTTCCATGAATTTCTGCCCTTCAAATCCAGGTTCCACTGTCATAACCAAGGCCATATCTATCTGATTAGCCCATGGTGCCAAATACTCAACTGTAGTTCCTGGTTTGACAGCAAGGCCAACGTTCATTCCATTCTCCTGAATGTCTTTGATCAAAGCCCCCGGATTCTCAGTAGCCTCGAGATGAAAAGTATATTGATTGGCTCCTGCTACAGCCATTGGTTTTACCCACTGTTCCGGCCTGGACACCATCATGTGCATGTCAAAGAAAGGGTCCTGGCCTAGCTGCTTTCGGAGACTTTCTACCACAGGGTGACCAAAGGTGATGTTGGGAACAAAATGCCCGTCCATTACATCCAGGTGCAGATAATCGGCCCCAGAGTCCAGCATCCGAAGGCACTCCGCCCCTAAACTGGCCAGTTCGCTGTTGAGGATGGACGGGCCAATCCTGCAGCCGGACACCATGGTGCTAGTTCTCTCTGAAAATGTTTTTTTTTTACCTCACTGAGTTTAGGGTTGTTTGTTATGCATTTGTTCCAGTGAATGGATAACTGAAATAGTGTCTTGTGTCTATGTGTGTATATACTGTCTACCTAATCTGAAAGACGCTTCCTGCTTAGAGTGATTTTTTTCTTTTTTTTTGCTTAGAGCTGACTTTAAGTCTAGATAAATTGCCTCAAGCTTTTCTCCTTTAGGAATATGTTGCCTTCAGAGTCTGAGGTTGTGTCAACCAGTCAAAGAGTTAAGTGAGTTTTAGATTTAAATGTTGCAAGAATGCAGGGGAGAGCTCCTAGCAGATCTTAAACACTATGCTTAACTTTGTAAAGTGTAATCTTTTCTCCTACGCCCAAATGGAAGGAAAATTGTTTACTATGCACCAGATGAGTGGGGAAGAAGATAAAAGTGGTACAAGCTACAATATCAAACTTCCAAATTTGAACTTTGAGTATTTTCACCCATTAAGTTTCAGCTTTACCTACCACATCTTCAGGCTACATTTTAAGCTTTGTTGAAGATGCCATGGTTTATTGATCTCTCCCTCTCCTATACTTCTCTACATCTGTAACAGACAAAGCTGTAGATTCCTGGGTGTATCACCATATCTCTATGTGTCTAGATGTCTTTATGTACAATCTACCTTGTCTTAAAGAGACTCAAGTATGTTTTGGTAGATAAATACTGTAGTTGCATCTATAAGTTTTGGTAAATGTAATAAGTATGTTAAATGTGAAACTCTAACATGTTCATGTTAAAATAAAAATAAATTGTAATTAAAAAATTATTTTATGTCATTTTGTTCATTTTGCTTATTGGGTCTGATGATTCAGAGCAAGCTATGGCCTGCAACCCAGGTGTGGTCCACAGTCTGTTTCTGTATGGCCCATGAGCTAAGAACGGTTTTTACATTTCTTTTTTTATTGTGGTAAAATACACATAACAGAAAATTTACCATTTTGACTATTTTAAGTGGTTAAAATTCAATGGCATTAAGTACATTAACATCGTTGTGCAACTATCACCACTTTCCATCTCTGGAACTTTTTCATCATCCAACTGAAAACTCTACTCATTAAACACTAACTCTCTATTGCCCTTTCCCCCCAAGTCCCTGGTAACCACTATTCTGCTTTCTGTCTCTATGAATTTGCCTATTCTAGGTACTCTGTATAAGTGGAGGCATAGAATATTTGTCCTTTATTTGTCTGGCTTATTTCACTTAGCATAATATTTTCAGGGTTCATCCGTGTTGTAGCATGTATCAGGATTTCCTTCTTGTTTAAGGCTGAATTGTATTCCATTGAATGTGTAAACCACATTTTGTTTATCCATTCATCTGTCGATGGACAGTTGGGTTGTTTCCATCTTTTGCCTATTTCAAATAATGCTGCTGTGAACATTGGTTTCCACCTTTTGCTTATTGTGTATAATGCTTCTATGAACATAATTGTATGTACCTGGAGGAGGAGGTATGGATGTGATCCTCCTCTATTGCTGTTGACCTTGACCAGAGCACTCTCCTTCCTGTCCCCTAATGGTGTCCAATGCTGCTATATACACTGGTGTACAGGGGAAATGGGGAATTGTTAATTCAGCGGGGGTAGAGTTTCAGCTTTGTAAGACGGGGAGAGATCTGGAGATTGGTTGGTGACAATGTAAATGTACTCACTTCTTTTTGGCTTTTACATTTTTAGAGTTGTAAAAAAAATTAAAAGAGTATTTTAAAATATTTACTATCAGGCCTTTTATAGAAAAAGTTTGCCAACCCCTAATTTAGAGTAAATGTTTAAAATTTTATAATGGGCTATTATAAAGTTGCTAAATGAATCTCAGTATACAGTTCCCTCATTTCTTTTTCTTTCTTTCTTTCTTTTTTTTAAAAAATTTTTGGCCGCACCAAGTGCCTTGTGGGATCTTAGTTCCCTGACTAGGGATGGAACCTGTGCCCTCAGCAGTGAAAGCACGGAGTCCTAACCACTGGACCACCAGGGAATTCCCAAGTTCCCTCATTTCTTCACTAGGAATGTATTTAAATTTCAGCAGACTTTCCCACACTAAGTATTTGGGGAACTCTAGTTCCATCCCAAAATCAACATCGAAAATCTCGGTTTTGTTTTTGTTATTAAGATTTACTGATTTAAAAGCAAGATTCACTGATTTTTTAATACAGGGATCCTGTAGTAAATTCAGAATAACAGGGCACAAGAGTTCTTTTCTTTAGAGCCAGGATCACATGAAAGAAAAGGCCCCACCATGTATATTAACTATGTAGAAACTGGAGATGCTGTCATTTCCACTTTTAATGTGCTTCTCTGATTCTCCTCTGAGCAGTCTCTCAATGTCCTTTGAACCTTAGCTTGTCCCTAAGGCAGAGATTCCCCAACTTTGTTTCATGGCACCCTTAGAATCTCAGTAAGTTTTTCATGGTGTCCTTAGGCCAAAGAAATTTCTAATAGTTCCATTTAGTAAGTAATTAAGTCCAAACAACCTAATTGTAGACATTCATATAATGTCTCACAGATGTTTCTGTGTTTCTCTGAAAAATTTTAACTATCCAATCCCTGCGGCCTCTGAATCCACTCCAGTGCTCTGTGGCCCCTCAGCACACAATTTGGAAATTGCAGTCCTAGGGTCTCATGCCTGCGTTTCTGACTTGGACTAGCCTTTGTCCTTGGCTTTGCTTCTTGTTTTCAGATCCTACTCCCCACAATTCCAGGGTTTGCCTAACAATTTATTTTTTATTTATTTATTTTGCCTAACAACTTCTGATGGCTTTCTTTGCTTAACAGATTTAATTTTCACATTCTTGATTCGGGTCTATTCCCTCAGTACATTAACTTTTTTTTTTAATTTAATTTAATTTATTTTATTTTTTGGCTGCATTGCGTCTTTGTTGCTGTGCGCAGGCCCTCTCCAGTTGCAGCAAGTGGGGGCCACTCCTCGCTGCGGTGCGTGGGCTTCTCATTGCGGTGGCTTCTCTTGTTGCGGAGCACGGGCTCTAGGTGCACAGGCTTCAGTAGTTGCGGCTCGTGGGCCCTAGAGCATGCAGGCTTCAGTAGTTATGGCTCGCAGGCTCAGTAGTTGTGGCGCACAGGCTTAGCCGCTCCACGGAATGTGGGATCCTCCTGGACCAGGGACCGAATCCGTGTCCCCTGCATTGGCAGGCGTATTCCCAACCACTGCGCCACCAGGGAAGTCCCAGTACATTAACTTTTATATTGGATTTTCTTAATAAAGGCTCTTTATTTAAACTACTGAAATAGTTAAATAAATAGAACATTTGCCCTCCTCTTCAAAAGTGTGTTATTGGCATTACTGGATTAATGACTATCAGGATCCCCAATTACCTCACAAGAAAGGTGATAAAGTATCTTAAACCACCTGTAATTCTTAGTAGTGTATGTTATCCTTTGTCACTCGAGTGAAGAGGATCCTGTGAAAGGTGCAAGCGACTCGCATAGTAAATAATAAATTACCTTTTCTATAAATTATTACTCAGTGGATGAACTTTCCAGTAACTCTGATAAGGAAGTTTTTTTTTTAATTGATATTTTATTTTCAGACTGATTTAAGATACTTCTGGCATATCAATTTACAGGCTAAAAGGAATATGAAAAACCTTAATAATTGTAACAGATTCAAAACTAGATAATTCAGGAGACTTGGGAGAGAAGGTATTTCTGGTTAGGAAGAAGATTCTGTGCATTATCTGTTAGGATGATCTGTGCACTGAGAAAGGAAACTATTTTTATACTGAGACAAATTCTTTTAGGATTTAAACAAAAATCACTGTGTCATTTAGTGTACTTTAGATGCTAGACTGTGGTGATCCCCACAGAAAGAAGGCTTGACTTACATGAAGTAAGGAGAATTCATGGGAGGATTTCGCCCCTGTGTGGAGGAAGTTTTCTCTTTCACATGTGAGCAGAGCTCTCTATGGAGCTTGAGTTTTACCTCTTACTTTTCTCATGTATTTTAGGCTGTCAGTTGCCCTGTGTAAACTCATGAGCACATGTCCTACTTGGTTTTATGTGGGTCAGATCTGGGGGTGGAGTGAGAATTGATTCCTCTCTCGCCCCGTAGAGCGATATTCTGTGCATGCAAAGCTCTGATTGGAGCCCACCAGGCTTTACTTTGTAGATGCAGAACTAGACTTTTTTTTTTTTTAACTCCTTGGGTGTGAATCGTATGATTTGTGCTTTCCCAATTTTCTCATTTGGGAAAGGAGAGGAAAACAGGTGAGCAGTGTCTTTGTTTTTCCCCTTCCTCCTTGACACTCTCCCTAGGAGGGTCTCTAAGTCAGGATATAAGAATCAGGCAAGTGCCCCAGAACTAAGTTTTTTAACTCTCCTTATTCTCAGGAACCCTGGGTTTGTGATCAGTGATCCCAGGAAGGAAGACTTAAGTAGAAAAATACCTTGCCTAATGTATTTTCTTTTTTCTTTTTCTTTTTTGGCTGTGCCTTGTGACTTGTGGGATCTAAGTTCCCCACCCAGGGATTGAACCCGGGCCGTTGGAAGTGAGCGCGGAGTCCTTACCACTGGACCGCCAGGGAATTCCCGCCTGATGTATTTTCTGTTGCTACCGTAACAAATGACCAGAATGTTAGTGGCTGACATAGAAACACATGGCTTCAGGATGGTGGGCCACTGAGCTAGGAGTTCTTGGACTGTTAATATCTGTGAAGGGTCTGAGATTTGTACCGTATTTGCAAGCTAACAGGTTAGCCTGCCACAGTTTCATGGATGCTGACAAGACATGAGACATTTGAGTCAGAGGCAAAAGACTTTTCTACTAACAGCACAGCAGGCAGTAAGAGCTTCGTGTTTGCATTGGTTCCTCTTGCCTCCCAAGTCCTATGGGGCGAGGTGGAGAGACCCAGGTGTATGCTGTGTAGGAAGGAGTTTGCACCACAGCCGAGCAACTCTGAGCTTAGAAAACGCTGTCTTTTATAATGACCTGAGAGTAAACCTGTCAACCTTTGTCCTGGAGAGAGACATTGTCTTTATCATCCTAGTCGGGAAACAAATGTGCTCTTTGCCCTAGAAGGAGAGGCTATCTCTACCTCTCAAGGCTGCTTGCTATATGAATATCCTTGAAAAGATATTCCAGAACAAAAGATAGAAAGAAAGTATACAGAAGTACCATGGGGATCGGCTCCCAGTAAACTGGATAACCAGGTGATTTATATCACCAAAAATTACACATTTGGTGAATGGAAGCCTGACTTGAGTCAACCTGACAGAGTTACTTGCTTTCCCTCCCTAAGACTGCTCTTAGACCCAGAGACATTTTAATAAAAGCAAGGCCACATACCCTTGAGGAAGGTCTGAGATAATATTGAAGGTACATTCCACGAATCTTGTCTCAGGTGTATCAAGGAAGCTATGCACAAGGTAAAGGGAAACAGCCACACCTTTTGTTATTATCACACAACTGTTTTGAATTAACACTGTCAAATAATTCTAAATAATGATTACCATCATATGATTCAGTCAAGGTTACTCATGGTTGGTCAAGTTGGGCGATTTGAAGAGTGTTCAGTAGGGGACTTCCCTGGTGGTCCAGTGGTTAAGACTCCTTGCCTCCACTGCAGGGGTCGTGGATTCTATCCTTGGTGGGGGAACTAAGATCCTGAATGCTGCAGCGCGGCCAAGGGGGAAATAAAAAAGAGTGTTCA